TTTATTCAACATTATTCATATTATTTATTTTTGAGTTTACAATATTAGTTTTATTCATAATTTGCATAGAAATGTTGAATATTTTTCTATATTACTTATTTCTATTACAGATTGATGATACTTATATTTCAAAATGGAGAATCCGTGCTCACAAACCTCTAAAGCCACATGCAGTCATAATCCCTTACCTTCACTAATCTGGTTTCTACCATGTATCTACAATAGGGTCCACACACATCGATTCAAGGTTTAATTATAGCCTTATTGGAACGGTGGAGACCCGAAATTTATACATTTCATCTTTCAAGATGTGAGTATGTTATTGGGGTTTCTTGTAGATGGAAAAGCGGTAAATGGTCCATCCGAGATAGGTGGTGGTGCATGGAGTTTTATTTTAGGGATGAACCACCACAAAGTGATAAGGGAATGACTGCGAGGTTGACATGGCTTAAAGACATGAACCACCAACAGATGAGTCATCCTAGGAGTATAAAATTAAACATGCTCGTATTTATAGCTTACTCCTTATCGGACAAGTTTTGTTTCCTAACAAAAGCGGTAATACTATACATTCAAAATAGACACAATTTGGAAAATTGAGTTGGGGTTTCGCCGTTTTAGCCAATCTATATAGGGAAATGTGCAAGTCTCTGAACATAAAAGTAACAGAGATGTCAGGATGCGTTTTACTTTTTCAAGCTTGGGCTTTTACACGCATGCCTATAATATCTCCGGTGGCTCCGCTTTAAGCTCCATATCCTTACGCAAGAAGGTAATATTTTAATTATAATTAAAATTGTTAGGATACTTTAAAATAAAATTTAATTTTAAATTCTTTTTAGGTGGTGGATCAAGAAACTTGACTACCAAAACAACCTACGACAACATCTACAAGGATACCGATTCAGGATTGATCACATACTTCAAGATTAGGTTTATTTTTGAATTTTATTTTGGTTAAACTAAAAAGTTGTCTATAACTTTTCAGTTTATTTGGAGGCCGTATCTTGCATTAGCGTCCCAAAGACACGAAGACAGTTTGATATGGAGTTCAACTACGTAATATTTTCATATGGTAGAAATGAATCAAGCAGATAAGCTCAAACTATAATTTGGTCATTTACAAGGGATATCTGAAGATGAAGAAGCAGCTCGATGCTCGACTGAACACCATAAGATGACAACAATAAAAGCGCGCCAAAAGCATATACCACATTATACTCTGATGAACAAAATTGTTGGTTGCATCGAGAATTGTTTACGTTGGATGGAGATCAATTACAAACAGAGGAGAAACCATCAAATGAGTACATGCAATGGTATCACTAGCTTTCACATAAATTCACATAAATATGCATAGTACGAACAATTTTTCACTGACCCTCGTCAAAATCAATATGCCCCTACTCGGGCAAGTGACTCTTAACAACCTCACCACTCACAACATTCTCAACCTCCTCATCCCCAATCCTTCCAACAACAAACTCCTCACTTTTCCCAAGATCAAACACCCATCCCCATTATCCTGAACAACACACTTCTAACCCTCATTTTTCTCAACTACAAACTCCTGCCCTTTATATTTACCAAAATCAAATCAAATTTTGATTCCTCCTCCTCCCAATATAACCCTACAACGCCTTATTTTCCAACCATGTGTCCGCCACAACAACCGCAATATAATTTTGGCGAGGATCTTAACGTTAGTGATTATGATTTATTGGAAAGCATTTGGTCTCCTCCACAAGCTACAACTCCTAGTCAAGAAAATCCTCCAACATCAGATGCAACCCAACAAAATCCTCCAACAACAGAGACCGAACAACAATATGGTTTTGGTCATCGTGCTCCGCGACCACGTTATTGTTTTACAGGTACTCGTTTCGGACCGGGTCATCAGCATTAAATAGTGTAATTGTGAAATTAACTATATTTTTTTATTTAGCATTTTGATTGTAATTGTGATATTTTATTATTTAATAAAAAAAAATATTATTATATTGTAATTGTTAAATATTTATTTGAAGTTTTTAAATTAATATTTTATTTATTAATTTTATAACTAAATAATTTATTAAAGTATTTGTAATTAATAAAAAAATTAAATAATTAAAATAAATAACAAAAATGTAAGAAAACATTTGATTTGGCGTGAGCATGGGCTGCTCACATTCGCGCCATTTCAAATGGCGTGAACCCCCTGGGTGTGACATCCTGGAAAATTATTTTCAGACTGTGGCATTTTCAAAATTTTTTTTCGTGGGAGTGGCATATGGGGAAAAAATTCTCCGTTTCAAGTATGAAGGTCTATGTGAAGTCAGGAAGACACAACATAGGAGTCTTTGTCCTTTTTTTGTTTCAAAATTTTAATAGTTGTTTCAGCTTGATGTACCCCATAAAAATTTAGTGTGGAACGCAATAAATCGGTTATGGGAGCGGCGGACGAGGCATTGGCCAATCTAAAATCGCTTGATCTGGGGTTACGTCATGACTTGAAATAATATGACCTATCAATACTAGAAACAACAAAAACGCATTTGGATCTTGAAATAATATGACCTAAGTAATCAACACTAGAAATGATGAGCATGATCTGAAGCGCAAGAGCTGTAGATTAGAATGTTATAAAAAATCTTTCACCGTCGATTAAAAAGAACTAAGAGCATTAGTAAGCCTGAAAGGCATAACTAAAAATTCTTAGTGTCCATCAAACATTCTGAACGTAAACAGATGCAGATCCCAACTCATCAAAGAGTTCATCTATTGTAGGTATTTGAAAACGGTTGCAAAATTACCCTCATGAAACATCTCTTGAATAATAGTAGTCATCGCTTCATTTTTGTGAATGAGGGTAGCGGGGTGTTTGGTATAATGGGAATATGGTGGTAATCCATGTGGTTTTTGAAAGATCTGTTTAAAGGATTGAAGAATGTTTCTGATTGGTTTGGGAACAGAGGGTGGTAGTGGGTCTAGAATATTTGTTGGGGTTGGGGAAGTTTTAAGGGAAGAATCCTTGTCTTGGGTGGGTTGATAAAGGATAAGGTGAATTGATGCAATTTAGTTAGTGTGGTGGAGGTGGAAAAATTGGTTGTAAGATGATGGGGAGGGAAGAGATTTAGGCTCGCCTGTGATGGTAATGTCACTGTTGTGGTTGGAAAATGATATTTTTGGGATGGAAAAATCAGCCATTAGCGGTCCAAGTGTTCTTAACCATTCCAAGGACTAATCAACTCCTTCAATAGGGAGTAATTGGAAAGTAATAAGAAACAGTGTTATTCAATGTAATAGGAATTTCCTAGATGAACATTTATGATCAGGAATGAATATTTTGTCACAATTAAAGCACAACCCTTGTGTGCGACCTTCCTGCAGTTGGTTAACTTGAAAGGCGACAAATAGGTAGTTTGAGTTTTGGGGTTATAGCGGTTGTTTTAAGGGTGGGAACAGGTTGGGGGTGGTTTGAGGTGTAGGGCTAGTTCTTACAAATAGGTTGGAAAAAGGTTTTTGGAATTTTGGTTTCTTGAAGAGCATTGTCAATCCGTAAGTTGGTTGTTTGAAGCACTGTCTAAACAACTTCTTTTACAATTTCCTTAGAAGAAGGGTTAGGGGGTTTGGGAGGGGCCATGGGTTCAATAGAAGGAAAGCGCCAATGATAAGAAGGGATCTGCAATTACTACATAGGTCTAGGCTTTCACCATAAACAAACGCAAGACAGAAAAATAATGAAGATAAATTTCATGAATAATTTCTTGTTTCATCTTTTAGACAAAGTTTTCCTTAAATACAAACACAACCCTAATGGGTATTAAGACTAATTGGCCAAACCCACTTTGAAGCAATAATAAAAACATAACAAACATAATAGTGAATTATTTAAAGAAACATAATCTTGTAAATATTTGGGCCTGTTTCTGATTCGGCTTGGCCTGCTATTAGTAAGTTTAGGGTATTTGAGAGATGAAAGAAATTAAAATAAATTATTTGTTCAAAGAGACTGATTGATTTAAAGGAAGATTGAGGTAAAGTTACCCCATCACTATAACTCCAAAGAGTCAAATCCGATAAATCTAACGTTCTTTTATAATTGTCACTTTTCGATTTTTTGACTTTTTATCTATACTAAGAAAGTTTATATTTCTTAGTTTTTTTCAATATTATGATTTTTCTCTTGTCTGTAATACCCTTAACTTTTAATTATTTCAATGTATTTTTTTCCCTCTCTATAATAAATAGTTAGAGATAATTTTGACAGTCATAATCATTAATACTTTAAACTTTAAAATTCACAATTAAAAAGAAATAATTTTTTTCTCCACAAAAATAACATTTATAAAGGAATGGAGAGAGTATATCTATATGACCACATGTTGACTTGCTATATCAGGAGTCTCTTTTGCAAGTAGACCAAATTAGCTTATACTAGTAGCTGATACCTTATGACTTAAAAAATATTGTATGATAACAATTACTCCTGATATAAGTAGTTTATAATGTTTCTTATAACTTTATTCAAGTAATTTATAGTTTATTATTTTTCTTAATTTTACTGTTATTTTAATTAGAAATTAAATATTTTTTAATGTCATTTTATATTTCAAAGTAACTTTATCAATTAGTTTTACTAAACACTATAAATTTATTTAGTTAGTTTATTTGTTTCAGCCAACTCACTAGCCATCCATAAATTTGTAATTACAAAAAACTTAACCTTTATACTTGAACGCAAATTTAATAACATGGGACATGGCTTTTACCATATTGTCATAGCAAGTAGCAACCTGTAGTAACTGATATCTTAATATATATTTTTTGAAATTCTGCTTAACTCAATGGAAAACAATTTACTACCGCAGTGAAACAATCTAGTTTTGACCATTATCCCTTCCATCACCTCATTCACATCAAATGTTTTATGTTCCTCAATTCTAATCTCGCATTTCTAAATTATGCAACATGCATTACGTGAGGGGAAACCAAACGAATAAATTTAATTTTCAGTCTTAGCCTCCAGGAACCAGTTGAATCAGCTTCTCTGCTTGATCAGGAAAGAAGGTGATGAATAGATACGCACCTGAAAATTTCATAAAACAAAGAATGATCAATACAAGTTACTGGTCAATAAATTGTTATTAAAGTACTGAAATACTTACAAATAAGAACAGTTCCTAACACAGCTGAAATTTTTCCTTGGATTTGCACCAAACCAGCTTTGCCAGCATTCTCCAACTCGGTCGAACCAACCGATTCAAATGTCCCTGCAGAATGAACACATTTTAATTCTTATCCTTAAAGAACATGAAATAAAAAATAAAATAAAATAAATGATTATCTAAACCTGGTTTCACGGTTTGAAGTCCAGATGATATGCATGCTATATTTTGGTAACCAGCTTCATCTAACTTATTTGCTGCTGCAGCAGACCTTGACAAAGAAAAAAAAATTGAATCTACAATTCTTCTATTAGGGTATAATAAATCTCAAATCAAGTACAAAACAAATTCAAGTTATGTAAATTCATATGAATTTTACCCTTGTACAACCAAATAAAGTAAGAAATCATAAACTAACCTCATTCCTTCCTGACATACAACCAACAGTTTACTTTCAGGTGATATCTGACTCTTGACAGATTTTAAGAAATCAGGATTTGGTCTAGTGAATGGTATCCCAAAGAACAACCCAGAAAAATTATTGTGGACAGTCCTCAACAAGATTGTACCTAAAGAAAATAAACACAATGAAGCATTAAAAAAAACAAGTGAAACAATGTTTTAGTCCTTGGAATTGTAGAAATTAATTCATACCGGGATCATTGTCTGTATTTTCAACAAAAAGAGGAACATGATAACATGTTTTAATATGAGCTCTCTCAAATTGAGATTTGTCCCGAACATCAAGAACATTAAACCCATTTACTGCTACAAGTTCCTTAGCTTCATCAGCTGTTACAAATTCCACTTCTGCTTTTATTCTAAAGTTCCTTCTTATTTGACATTGAGGTAGTTGTTTCCTTGCTAGGGTCCTTGTATTGTGAGTTTTTAAAACTAAATTGCTGAAAACACAACCTTAATCACTCACAATTATGTTCAAAACAGCATTAACAACATAAATTTTCGTGTTTATGGAAAAATAAAAGTTGAAAAGAGGAGTTACCAGGAGGTGTAGAAAGCAGTCCCTGCCATTGTGAGGATGTGTATTTGTCATTCTTATCTCTCTATGAGTTAGGCTTTCAAAGGTTAACACAGTTTAGCCAAAAGTTTCAATGAGTGGGCCAGGGAATTTGAGATCAGCAATGGATATATGCCATGTGGCAATACGAGGGGGATATATTAGCTCTTAGATAACATAACCGCTTCATGGATAAATTGTTCGGTGTTGCCGCTCTATGTTAGTGCATCTTTGATACTCCCACCTTGCAATCTATTTTGAACATTTCACTTAATTTTTTTATACAAAATATAAATAAATAAATAAAAAAAATATTTTTAGTAAATATACAAATAAAAGAGAGAAAAAACACTAGTATCGAAACTATAATTGATTGATTGGTGAATCAATAGTTATGATAAACAGAGAAGAATTTGAGTTTCTGGTACAATGGATCAACGATTGACCTGTAAGGTTAACACTCAAACGTTTAAATTAATATGTGAAAGAAAAGAGTAAATAAAAAATAAATTTGAAATTATGTACCTCAATTGACGTATTTTCTCTTTATACAATGGATAAGTTATAACAATCCGCTATTTGCTAAGCGTGTAATGCGGGGAGCAGTTGGATATAAATATCTATTTGGATCACCTATATTTCCTCGTAGCGTAATTCTCTTGTGTTGTGAATGTTCTAGAAGAATTGTAACTCCTTCTAAGTGGTCGGGCGAGTATTGTGATCGGCCCAGAATAATTATACCCTAAACCCTTGTTTTGTATGACAGTGCAAGAGTTTGTCGTGTTTGCCTCATGCGCCAATCAGTCTTTTCAACTGCTCTAGATGGTCAAGAGAAGGTGTTACAGTTTATTAGAAATTCACACCTTTAATGCCCCATGACTCAAATGTCTTTTCAGAGTTATCCTCTTAATGACCCTGGATAAATAGAACATTTAAGTGATGTAATATCCTATATACCCTTAAATACTCTAAATATTGTCGGTTGGAATATATATATATATATATATATATATATATATATATATATATATATATATATATATATATATATATATATATATATATATATATATATATATATATATATATATATATATTAATTAGTCAATCTTTATTAAAAGAGACTGCTTTTATTAATTAATATCTGAAGAAATATTTTGGTAGCACTAATAATTAATCATTTGACCTAAGTCTCTTAAGGAATTTTTTGGAGGCAAAACTATGGTTAACTAATTATCAATATTAATTAATTATTTATTTATTATTAATTAAAATCACTCATTTCCATAATTTAAATATTTATTTTTTATTTTATTTATTATTAACTAAAACCATCAACTCCCATAATTTAAGGATTGATTTATTTATTAATTTTTTTAAAATTATGGCGAAATTATTTATACAAGGGAGTGAAACCCCTATTGTGGATGTCTGGTATTCATTGACCATATCTATTGGATATTGTGTTCTACACAATGGAGGTCTAGATCCTATTGACAATATCTGATGTATAGTGAAATCCATACAGTGGATATCTGACGTCTATTGACCATATCTGATAGATGACATGGTTCGGGAAGTGGAGGTATGGGTTTTCCTATCGATCATATCTGACGGATGAGTTGTTAGATCTTCGTGATCATTTGGGTTAGTCACCCTTGATTTCATGGAAAGTTTAGCCATGAATATGATGTTGATACATATTAAGGAGCCAATAAAGCTTCATTAAATTCTCGTTGCGTATCTAACACGTAAGAGTAAGGTGTTAGTGACGAGCATTGAGTCGAGAGGACTCAAGTTGTGTATCATGTGCGAGGTAAGAATGCCTTAAATACTTAAGTCGTATGATTGTGTGAGAATACACGAGTAATGCAAATTGAAAGGCTTAAGTTGAAAATCATTAATATATCCCTTTAGAGTCGAGTGGACTCATAGAATAGAGAAACTCATTGAGATTATTATCTCATCCCATTATCATTATTGTTTTTAAGTAGTTCTCTGCATGTTAAAGGCAAGAGGAAGATAGTACGTGATGTTTCGATGACTTTGAGTTCATAATCTTCCGCTGTGGATTATGCACAATGAAGATGTAGTGCATAGATCTTAGATTTTTATTTAGGCACTTTTGTATATCATGTGCCATAATTGTACTTTTAGTAGTCACACACACACACACACACACATATATATATATATATATATAGACACTTTTGTTGTATCAGTACCAATTAATACAACGTATAATATATTTATAGATGTATATTATACGAGGTGTTACATTGCGTGTAAGTGACTTAAAGCATTGACATGGTCTATTATGCCATCACATGATTTTTGAAGAGTTAGTTTCTCATATCTTTGAGGTGTATTTTCTATTTCGGATTTATTTTCTTTCCTTTGATATTTCTCTTTTCCCTTTCTTGGAGAAAATCATATCCATCACGAGTCAAGAGTCAAAAGAAGATATATGTGCTTAGTTTGAGGATTATACGTACTCTCTGAGTGTTTCTATCTTTGCTCGAGAGGGTTGTCTTAATGGGACCTTTCAGAATGTTGGTCCATCTTCAGATTATGGTGTCTTGACCCTTGGTGAAAATTAAAGAATCTACAACAAGTATGGTGAATGTGCCATCCCATTATATGAGTGCATTTTCTTGACATTGGGACTTCGACTACTATTCAATGGCTTCAAAATGGAAGTTCTTAAACACTTGTTGGTTTATCTGTCACATCTTCGTCCTGTGATGTCCCAACTTTGTCCCGTGAGTTGGATGTATGTAAAAGTCTTTCAATATTGGTAGAATTTTTTTGAATGGAAGACCTTCTTTGAACATTTTCCTCCATCTCTTCAAATTCTAATGTGGCCCTGTGACTCAAGCATGGGGTCCTGGTTTAGTTTCCTTGGTGACAACTATAAATGGCTTTAAAGCTTTTTCAGAGAAATTGAAGCGTTTTAAAGATTAAATTTTCCTATTTACCCCTATATGCCCGGAGGCTTATGAAACAATATGCTCTGTCGGAGATAGAGCAAGGTGAAAATGTATCGAATTGTTCCACAGGTACTTGAACAAGGTTCATTTTTTGATGGGAAATGGATTGTACGTTTACAAAAGGGACGACCTTTCATAAGAAGATTTGTATTTGAACAAATGACGTACGAGTCTTGTTAGACGGCGACAACATATCTAGAGGAGGGGAGGGGGGGGGGGGGGTTGAATAGATACCCCTTTCAAAAATTCCAAATAATTTAGGTTTTGAAAAAGTTATTAAAGTACGACGTGTAAGCTTTTTCAAATTGTCGTCTATACGAATGTTATCAGGAAGCTCAAATATGCAAACCGTAAAACAAAATTCAATATGGAATATGAATGATATAGAATTAATAAGCTTGAATCACTTGGAACTTATTATAGTTTAATCAACTTCACTTAGCAAGGCTATTTCCAATGGTAATATTAAAAGAACTAGTTTAGTCAATTTATCAAACACTTGGTGTGCAAGTGAATTTTTAGAATTTTTCCTTTGATTATGTTGATCATAAAACCACTTTATATTAAAAGTGATTATAAGCTATATCAACAAATGAGGTAAAATCAAAATTGATTAGGAAAATTCTTACAACTCAAATGATAACTCAATGCTATTTGATAAATTGATCAATTAATATCAAATCAAGTAAAAGCAAAAATAAAAGCGACACAGGGATTTGCCTTCACATT